AAAAGGTAATCAAAGAGCGAAAGACGGAACTACTGATGAAAATGAATGAAAATAAAGGCAACAAATTGGAGGAACTGGTGGAAGACATGGGCTCTAAGCGAAGGCTAGCTTTCTTGGACTCCCTGCTCGTGCATCACATCCAGAATCCGCGGGAATTCACGGAACTGGACATCCGGGACGAGGTGGACACCTTCATGTTTGAGGGGCACGACACCACCGCCGCCGCCATTCAGTTCGCACTCATGCTCATCGGACTGGACCCTCACGTCCAGGTGCCCGCACCCACGCACACCTCAACCCTATGTCTAACACTTAATCCATGTTTACATTTAAGGCTAAAATACACTCAGAATTGGACGCAATCTTCTCGGACGACATGACGCGCGACATAACGATCGACGACTTGAGACAACTCAAGTATTTGGAGCAATGCATCAAAGAGTCGCTCCGACTCTACCCGTCCGTCCCATACGTCGCCCGAAACAACAACGAGCCCATCCGTATCGACAACTACGAGGTGCCGGCGCGCACCACATGTATGGTCTTCTTCTATATGCTCCACAGAGACCCCCATTACTACCCCAACCCCGAGGTGTTCGACCCGAACCGGTTCGACACGGACGCCACGGGTGGTCAGCCCCGTCACCCGTACGCGTACGTGCCGTTCAGTGCCGGCCCTCGCAATTGCATCGGACAGAAGTTCGCGCTCTTGGAGGAGAAGGCCCTGTTGGCTGCCATACTGCGACGGTATGACATCCGGTGTCTGACACAGCGCCACGACCTCAAGCTGGACATCGCCGCCATCCTTAAGCCCAACTCAAACATTACGATGAGATTCGCGAAACGATTTTGAGATTATGCCTCAGATTTAGTGATCAGTTCATGGATTTTGTAATAAAATCTGTTTTATTTTAGCGATAAATATGGAAATAAATACAAATAATTAGTCGAAAAGAGTAGAAATAAAAACACAAAAAAACATAAAAACAGCTCATTTTAAACCAGACATCCCTTTGAGAAGCGACGCACCGGGTGGTAGGGATGGGAAGGACGGCAGCATTGATGGCGCCGAGTCTTTGGCCAATTTGGACGCCCTATCGTTGATGGCCTGTACTCTCGCCTCATTAGACTCGGCTTTTCTGTTGATTGTGTCCAACCGCTGGTTCTGTGCGTCCATCTCCTGTCCCATATCCAGTGCCATATTCCTGAGCGCACCCAACAGGTTGGACACCTCACCCATATTGCCCTCCATTTCCTCCTCCCGGGCGTCGTTCAGCACTTTAATGATATACCCCTTCGAGTCGACACTCCCGGCGTCGCTCCGACCGCTGTTAACGTCAGGCGTACCCATCCGTGGCTGACCCGACACGACCGCCCGCTTCTCCTTAACCGTAGTCCAGGTGCCCGAGTCCGAGCTGAACCTCTTGGGCTGAGTGCACGGACAGAGACACAGTCCGCACCACTTCTCCATCTGCGTCAACGTCTTCTCGGTGTCCCTCATGTCGGCGTTCATGTGATCCATGTCCCCCTCGATGCGCGACAACTGGTCTCCCTGTGCCCACATCTGGTCCAGCGTTTTCACGCCCACCCCCTCCGACTCCACACATAGAGCTACCATACGTCGGGTCGACTCCAGTGTCGAGTCGGTCACCAAATTGGCTCTCATTTGCATCGCTTCTGTCGACTCCTCGTCGTCCGACACAACCGTCCCATTCATGTGATCCCATTCCCGGGCAGACATTTCTGACGATTTTTGTGTCAATTTGGTTGAGATGTCAGTGAAATGTACGCAAAGTTTGATCTAAATGTACAGTAATTATGAGAAAATGTATGTTAAAGTTGTGTTATTTTATTTGAATGAACGTATAGTTTGTGTTATATTTTTATGGTCTTATCAGCGATTTTGTAGTTTACGTATAAATCATTGATAACACAAATGATATAAAGTTTTAAATGATATTAAAATGCAATCATTTGTTAGTCTGTATGAGTGCTTAAAATAATACA